CCCCCCAACAACGTGACGTACGGAAACCTCAATAAATCTGCCTCATTTGAACTGTTATAGTGTTATATGTGTTATTATATGTTATACATCAAAGACTCTCAAAAATCAATTAAATAAATTAAAATTTTATAAAAATGTATTTCAAGGCGTTTACATGGGATATATACTTCATTTTCGTATAGGGGGCCAACTTGCCCCAACCCTGGGGCCAACTTGCCCCATGGCGGGGCAAGTTGGCCCCCCTGACGTCAACTGCGTTTTTTGTCAAATTGTGAGCCACCTGGCATTATATTTGAAAAATAATGACGTTGCATACGTAGCTTAGTTCATGGGGCTTACTTTGAAACCGGTTTTGTTACTCTAACCCACTCCTAGTTGGCTCTACAAGGCCAAAAGTGTCTAACTGGGCCAACTAGCCCCGGTCTCCCCTAGAATAAGAACCGATGATTCCAAAATAACATGAGCAATGTCTCTTAGGACATCTTTTGTTTAGCGACTTATGCAATGCATGTTCCTTGTTCAGGATGCACTGCACGCAAGACTAAATCCTGTAAAATCCCTTTTACACTGGACGTAGTACTTTCTGCGTCCTTTGTGCGACCATGAAACTGGCATCGCTGTGGTCGTAGAAAGGATGTTGGGTCAGATGTTGGGTTTGATGTCTTGGTCGGGTATTGGTCCAGCATCTTTTAGGACAAGCTCCCCACTCGCACCAGCAACTTATTCTAAGGGTGCATTCCCAGAGATTTAGATCGATCCAGAGATTTAGATTTAGTTCCACCTCACTTTCTGGGGGTTCACACTAAATTGCAGTCAGCCGAGCGCGCACCATAGTTAATTACCCCCTTACAGCTTTTAGTAGGCGGGACAGACGCTTAAGCCGGCTAAGCTGACAGTAATCTAGTGAGACTCCCCACAGGGATAGATCGATCTAAAATCTATGGGAATGGGGTCTAATCAGGGCGCATTCCCAGAGATTTAGATCGATCCAACTAGATCGACCTAACTCCCTGGGGGTTCACGCTAAATAGCTGTCAGCCGAGCGCGCACAGTAGTTAATTACCTCCTTACAGCTTTCAGGAGGCGGGACAGACATTCAAGCCGGCTAAGCAGACAGTAATCTAGTAAGACTCCCCACAGGGATAGATCGATCTAAAATCTGTGGGAATGGGGTCTAAGTGACAAACACCGGATACATTTGACATTTGACTACAAGGATTACTTTCTTTTCAATCAATTTGCATATAAGCAAGTCCAAACGTGTTTGAAAATAATGTGTGTCTTAGCATTATTTATAATTAACAATATTTGTTGCGAATTTTGTATCAAATTTGAGAAAGAAGAAGTGAAACACCTTTTCTCTTCTTTCAAAAGAAATGCCTTTGAAAACTTTCTCTTTCGTTTAATCATATGCATTTGGTTATTTTATCTTGAGACATATGGACCTGTATAGATAAGAAAGTTTCCAGTGATACTGAAAGCTCGGGATGACTGGGGTGACATATTGAATACCCAGACCTATAATGGGCACTGACATACATCGAGGTCAGTGAGTTCAGTATCAGTCTGAGACTTGGATCTTAACCCACTGCAAGCTTTATGCAAGTGTAATGAGGTCGGCGGACAAGCTCCTGTGCACTTCATAAAAATGCTGCAGTACAAACATTTTGAGTAATATGAGACCTCCATGGATCTCTGTGTATTTTCTCCTTAAAAGCTATAAGAAATTGGGAGGGAGCGAAGTCAAAAAATTGGTTTTAAGAGGGAGAGGGACATGCAATCCCTATGTACGACGCAGAAAAATGCATAATCATTCATCTGAAATAAACACAGTTCCAAATACCTAAAGTTTAGCATATTGGCATGCGACTTTACTGCTGTTTTATAATTTTCCATTTATATATTTCTTTTAACCTCCCCTCAACCAATTTCTTATCTGTATTTTATACATGCATTAGCTGGATAAATTATTATTATTATTATTATTATTATTATTATTATTATTATTATTATTCCTTCCAAGTTAATTCGTTGAATAAAATAATAGTAAGTATGTTGATTGTAATCAAAACGATTCATGTGACACTGAATGAGAATTTTATTCTTTAATTTATCGGTCCGTCTTATAATCACCTCATTCTTGGAGAGCATTTTAAAAGAGCAAAATAAATAAAAAGGCCAAAATCAAGAGGAGGCCTCAATTCTACAACACTTTCCATAAATACTATATGCAGTTTGTGATCCAAAACAAAAAAAAATTATGTAGACATCAAAAATAATTTTATCCATCTTTGAATGTTAACCATATTACAAGTTCGTCTAGTTACACAGGTCACGACCCAAGTCGAAGCCCCACTATTATAGAGTTATTTGGTCGGTTCGTGCTTGCTGCACTGATCAGAGCATTCTTCAATAGAGTTGAAATTGTTGCTGTTGCCGCCACACCTGTTGTAGTAGAAGTGTTTACACACACCGTTGTCTTTATCGTAGTAGTACTTCTTGGTGTAGGTGTTGCAATAGTTGCCTGTCTGGACTGCGGTCATGAGCGGCTCAAAACAAATGCTGCCTGGAAGACATTTGTACACATCGATCGTACAAAGGGTACAATAATAAAAAACATCCGTTTAATACAAATTATAATAGACAACCAACTGCTATGAAATACAAAACTAAATAATTAAACATATAAAAGTTGTTTTTAATAAACGTTTTTTTTTCAAAGAATGTTGTTGTATCTTTTGCAAAAGCATGTACTGGTGAAAATATACATACGGATATAACTGTACAATTAAGAATTATCTCACAATATTAAACACTAAACTACAACCTGAAAACTATATAATTGGTAATGATCTCCCAATATTAAACACTAAACTACAACATGATAACTGTATAATTAAGAATGTTCTCACAATATTCAACAATGTTAAACACTAAACAACAACACGATAACTATATAATTAGGAATGAGGAGAGAACATTAAGATCAATCCAAATCTTCAATTGTCAGACCATTTGAAATATATGTATTTATTCTCAAAAATTTTAGTGATAATTTTACTTCTTTAAATCCACTTACGGATGCAGTGGGATTCTCCATCTCCTTCTCCTTCCATCAGGCAGTTGAATCCAGACTCGCACCGTCCACCCTACAATCATTATTTTACATAATACACCTCTATACTGTAACAGTTTATTTATTAATTATATATCATTCCTTCACATACTAAATAATTTGGAATGTTATGCTCGAGTGAATATGATGTAACTTTTTTTATGAAAGCGTACACAGAAGGTATACTTTTCGCGTCTGAAAAGTCATATTTTCTATGTTGACATATTTTCTATGTTGACATATCCTGTGAACTTACTTCTCTTCATCATTAAGTGAAGTAAAACCAGTGTAAAAAGTGGTAGGGTTACAGAAGCATGCTCTTCTTATTGTTTGTTTTTTGAGCGTAGTAATCAAATCACAGTGCTACATTCTCATAAGCTGTGTTGCAAAAAACAAGCCGGCGATGTAGTGACAACCTGATGAAGCTAAATTGTTGTGACAACGTCGAGACAACGCTGTGTGTGTGTGTGTGTGTGTGTGTTTGTGGCTGTGTGTGAGCGCTTACGCGTTTGTGCACATTATTTTAACATTTTGGCGTTTTTTGCATGAAAATGTGCCCAAAAGTTTGTAAGAAAACATTTATTTTTGACAAAATTTTGAAATATATTCTAGAAAAATACTGACGTAAAGTAGCAAACCATATACGTAATGCAAAAGCGGACTTTTCATGTGAATTTTCAAATACTGTGATACTTACGAGATCAGTAATTGGTAATTGATATAATTACGCCTTTGAAATTTGAGTACAGTTACAGCGTACATTTTTCCTTTCAAAGCTAATCGTATTAAAATTGATTTCAAAATGCTGTATATTACAAAACGCGGCATATTTGAGTGAAATAATCTGCCTTCTTTAATTTAAAATAGGTGCAAAATCTAAAAGATTATCTAACTATTCGCTATCTAGAGTCATAAAACAAGCGATTTATAATTTTGTACTCACCCCACATACTGTTCTTCTAGCTGACACCGCCTGAAATTATTGGAAATTTGTCATTAGATGACTTGATGTGACAAAAAGTTTGTTTTCAACCAAGGAACCTTTCATCGTTGAACAAGATATCATTTAAATTTTTTTCCTTCAAGTATAAATTTACCATCTACGTGAACTGTGGACTTTTTGAGCTCGAGGATTATTGAAACTGGATGATATATATTTATCTCCGTTAATTTAAAATGACTGGATTTTACAGTCATATTTACCGGCAAAATAACTGCAAGCAAAAGCAAGTAACACCGCATCATTTGTTCGTTATGATCTCTGATGTTGAGAAAGTCTGAACAAACGTCGTTAGCTGCAAAGTCTGTCTTGATGGCGCCTACTGTTAGAAGTGGAAGATGTCGTCTGTAGCTGCAAGGGATTTGAGGGCTTTGCAATTCTGTCAGTCGTTTCAGGAAGGGCACTGCTTAGTATGTATATGTAATCCAGCTTGGTGACGCACCTTCATGGATACTCAAGTGCATTATTTATACCTTTACGCAACGTCGAAAGGTGTTGACCATTTCAACAAGTTGCCTTGCTCGTATGTCCCAAATGCTGTGCATCATCCGCACAGTGAAAAGTTATATAAGAAATTATTCACTCCCACTTACGGGTTATAGAAAACAAATAATAACGCTAATATAGACAATAATTAACCGAACTTTTCCTACGTACTTCGACTTTTGCCGAAATACCAGTTAGTTCCGTTCTCTCCGAATGAGTGTACTGCTCAGGTTGATTTCTACTACATCACAAGAACATGTTTTTTAAGTACATGATGAAGACTAAGTACCAGTGAGTTAGCGAAGGATGAACACTCTCTCAGAGGATAGGGGATTATTGGTTTTGGAAAAAGAAAAAATAAAGAAAAAAACTCTTATGATGTTGAAAAAGCAGTTAATGACATATCGGCAAATACCTGTTCTTTTTGTCAGCATGAAAAAGCTTCAGACATATCATATATACTTTACTTCTCTCATTGTTATTACCTTATCAAAAAGAAGTAGAAAATTAACTGTCCAAATAGCCAATTTCAATATAATGAATTCTTCAGTCCTTAAGAATAAATAATATAACACCCTGATATGGTTACATGACTACAAATGCACTTAAGTAAGAATCGAGAATGCAAGGCCGAAGATTAAGATAAGATAATAGTACAAGTNTTACAGCGTACATTTTTCCTTTCAAAGCTAATCGTATTAAAATTGATTTCAAAATGCTGTATATTACAAAACGCGGCATATTTGAGTGAAATAATCTGCCTTCTTTAATTTAAAATAGGTGCAAAATCTAAAAGATTATCTAACTATTCGCTATCTAGAGTCATAAAACAAGCGATTTATAATTTTGTACTCACCCCACATACTGTTCTTCTAGCTGACACCGCCTGAAATTATTGGAAATTTGTCATTAGATGACTTGATGTGACAAAAAGTTTGTTTTCAACCAAGGAACCTTTCATCGTTGAACAAGATATCATTTAAATTTTTTTCCTTCAAGTATAAATTTACCATCTACGTGAACTGTGGACTTTTTGAGCTCGAGGATTATTGAAACTGGATGATATATATTTATCTCCGTTAATTTAAAATGACTGGATTTTACAGTCATATTTACCGGCAAAATAACTGCAAGCAAAAGCAAGTAACACCGCATCATTTGTTCGTTATGATCTCTGATGTTGAGAAAGTCTGAACAAACGTCGTTAGCTGCAGTCTGTCTTGATGGCGCCTACTGTTAGAAGTGGAAGATGTCGTCTGTAGCTGCAAGGGATTTGAGGGCTTTGCAATTCTGTCAGTCGTTTCAGGAAGGGCACTGCTTAGTATGTATATGTAATCCAGCTTGGTGACGCACCTTCATGGATACTCAAGTGCATTATTTATACCTTTACGCAACGTCGAAAGGTGTTGACCATTTCAACAAGTTGCCTTGCTCGTATGTCCCAAATGCTGTGCATCATCCGCACAGTGAAAAGTTATATAAGAAATTATTCACTCCCACTTACGGGTTATAGAAAACAAATAATAACGCTAATATAGACAATAATTAACCGAACTTTTCCTACGTACTTCGACTTTTGCTGAAATACCAGTTAGTTCCGTTCTCTCCGAATGAGTGTACTGCTCAGGTTGATTTCTACTACATCACAAGAACATGTTTTTTAAGTACATGATGAAGACTAAGTACCAGTGAGTTAGCGAAGGATGAACACTCTCTCAGAGGATAGGGGATTATTGGTTTTGGAAAAAGAAAAAATAAAGAAAAAAACTCTTATGATGTTGAAAAAGCAGTTAATGACATATCGGCAAATACCTGTTCTTTTTGTCAGCATGAAAAAGCTTCAGACATATCATATATACTTTACTTCTCTCATTGTTATTACCTTATCAAAAAGAAGTAGAAAATTAACTGTCCAAATAGCCAATTTCAATATAATGAATTCTTCAGTCCTTAAGAATAAATAATATAACACCCTGATATGGTTACATGACTACAAATGCACTTAAGTAAGAATCGAGAATGCAAGGCCGAAGATTAAGATAAGATAATAGTACAAGTACATTTATCTACAAGACGTAGTCTAAAATGAGTTTGGGTTGTGTTTACGTTAATCATTCCTTGGTATATGTCACCTTTACTTTTCACTGCAGCCAAAAACTCAAACAATACATTTGAATATATAACCATTTATTTGTTAAAGCAGACTCCACATACTGAATAACTTGGCAAGGTGTGGTATGTCATGATCGAATGATAGCTGAATAGAACACGATCTACACGGTTGGAAGTGATACGAAGTCACTCATCTTTCTCAAACCGTTGAACAAAAGGTCGAGATTTCCTTCTTAAATGGCGGTCTGAATGTTGGGGAACATTAAAAACTAAATTCTTTTATTAGGAATAGTATAAAACAGGATCCAAAAGTACCGACGGGTATAGCAATGACTCCAGGGTAACTGAAGGAAAAATCAGTCTTGTGAAATGATGGGCCAGTTTGATTATTGTTGGGCTTCCGCAGTTATCATAATTTTTTTTGGAAGATCAAAATAAAAATGCGTACCCATTCTATTAAATGTTATCCATTTGATATTTGATATAAAAAACAACAACAAAGGAGTACATTGTATGTATAATATTCAAATATTCTAAACAGAAACATTTTGGCTTATATTGCTTGTAACTCCAAACACTATTAAGTTTCTTGCTTACCTAAATATGTGCTCCTAATTTTGAAATTCTACATAACTGTCATTACTTACTACTCAATTGTGCCAGAAATGCATGTGCAATTTACAGGAAGAGCTTGGGCAATAACCCCTATACATATAAATTTAACTACACACAGTGTACAACATCTAAAATTTCATTTTGACATTTTAATTTGCAAACCTACACTCTCAAGCAATACAAATGGTTTTAACTTTTTTTTAATGCCACAGACAATAACCAACTTTACACTGTCATTTTCTCTATTAATTTCCTTTTTGTTGTGGTTGAATGGTTTATCCAGGTACATCTTATCTACATTAACAAATTCAACAAATAATTTCGTAAGATTTAATAAAACTGGTGATTATAAATGTGGGCCAAGTTGAACACTTCAGTTTTTTCAGATCATCATAGATGGATACAGAGCTGAAGTTTTGCCCATTTTCAGGCAATTTCCAGTTTATTTCCCCAGTCACGTACAAAAAAAAAAAAAAAAAAAAAAAAAGCAAGTTGATATAAACTCATTATCTATCGTTTAGATTTATATAACATCCTTGATATCTCCAATCAATCATCCCTTTTCAACTTTACTCAGCTTAACTTGAAGACAGTTTTATTAAGACAAAAATATAAAGAAAGCTCTTCACTAAATGTCACTGTGAACAGTTAGTTATAGAACTGTAATTCCTTTCTCATTTTTTGTTCCCCTTTAAAATTCCAGCCAAGCTGTCGACCTCTTCCAGCACATCCTCCTGCTTCATCCTCCACACAGTGGTGCCATCTTTTGAACAGATAAGGAAGATGTCAAACAATCAGACATGTATGTTACAAATACTTGAGCACATGCACACATAATGAACTTGCAAAATGCGATAGGCCAAGACAATATGCACACAAACATACAGGGTAGGATTCATTAAACCCTTTGATTACGAGTATATAATCAAAGAACGGTAAGATCATAAAACATTGAGACAATCTGTCTCCAACACCTTCATTTCAAAAAGGATACACGCTCCACAAACATATACAACCAACAGGAATGCGGTTATCCTGCTATTTCTTCTAATTCGATTATTTTTTCTCGCTCTCTGTTCGTTTAGTCTCTCTAACTTTTTCATGTAGTAATATGTCTCGTTTCCAACTGTCTCAGGTGTCGGATTTTCCATTTTTGGCAAAGTTCTGGGTAGCACAATATCACCAAAAAGTTTTTCATAAATTCTGCTGCTTAACGGCGCCTGCTTTGTTGCCGAAACAGACTTTTTTGGTGGTAGTCCTGGGTCAACTTTCACCGGTGGCTCAGCCATTTTGCTTTTCTCAAGGTGAAGGTGAAACGGTTTTCAGGAATCACGTTTTCGTGTAACTTTACATAATGTAAATATTCTATTCATAAGAGGTATGTCGAGTGTGCAGTAAATTCCTCTCATTTTGATAAAAAATTCTAAAATACATCCTCAACACCTCAACATTATTACGAAACACAAAATCTACGATGTCTTGTCTTGATATTTAGTGACACCTATGAAACGTAATCCGCTCCACGTCGCCGACAAGAAAATGGATATTGCAATGCCGGTAGGTGGACCTTATTATTTTTACGCTCATAAGGCCTATTTCCTTTATTTTATATGTAACGGTGTCTTAAAAAACATTTAATAATTAACTGGCAGTTCTACAGAGCTAAAATGTCCGCGTTTTAGAGACATTTGGTAGTGAAGTTGAAACAAACTGGAAAGAGAATTTGGAAAATGAAGTTACATTGCATTTAGATTATTTTTGTGCACAATCACACGTCATTGTTACCAAGTCCGAAATTCGTGAGTTGGCACTCCTATTGGTGATCTGTGATATGTACGCAGTGCTAATGCATTAAAGCAACGGACTGAAAAAGTGTGAAATGACCAGTTTGCGCATCCACCGTGGATCTGGAGCACTGAAAACTTTATCTTACGTCTGTTATCGTCAACTCGCATACTGCTGTACAGCCACCCAGTTATCATGTTGTTCAAACCATGAGTAAGGTTCTTGTAAGATTCATCTTCTTTTCTACCAGTTACGCCAATGAATCTTTTTACTTTTACTTCCACCTTGCCTTCCATGTTCATTGTTGTAATGTAAAATATTATTTTTAAACAAAATTGATAAATATGACTATTTATTGCTATTGATAAATTCTGTTTTCAGGAACCCTCTTTGTACGTAATAAAAGCCATAGGAATATTAGACAATGATTCTAACAGAATCATTGCCAAAGTAAGTGCAGCTGTGATAAAACTTATTACTAATCTGCTGTTATATTCCGGATTTTTTTTTTAATGAGATGATGAAATAACTGAGAAAGTTCTCACAAAGAAAGGTAAAAAATTGCCTAGTGTGCCCCATACTGTACTACCTTAAAGAAGGTTAATTGTAATGTGGATGTTTGCTTTTTCAGTCTTTGATTGTATATGAACTCATGCATCTCTGCTTGAAGTAACTTTGCCTGATAAATTTTTATGACATAAATGCATATAACATTTTTCATCATTAAAAAAAAAATCTTTTTTAGTATTATGATGATCACTTCCCAACAGTAAAGGAACAAATAGCATTTGAGAAGAACCTTTATAATAAAACACACAGGGCCAATGGTAAGTATAGGGCTAATTTTATACTCCCCTCCCCAGTTTATTCTATGAAAAATTGCACAGTATGAAAACTAAGCAAAAATAAATAAATAAATAAATAATTAATATCATATATCTGTATGGTTTTATTAAGTATTAGAACTATAAATTGGGTTTAGGTGAGATGGTTGCATATGTAGTTTTTCTAGATGCATTTGTTTATTAAGGAATTTTCTAGGTGTGTTGTTAATGTATTGTTTCAGTATGAATTTGCTTTTATTGTTTAGTTTTGCTACTTTGGATGAAGCAATTTATACTAATTCTAGCTAGGACATCAATACGTTTTTGGTTTTAAATCTGATAAAAAATCAAGAAATGAATCCAAAGTTTTATTTTTTGTGTGTGTGATAAGGTAGTGGACGATATTTTAACATCAATTTAGATGGAATTCTCAATCTTAAAGTTAATGTTACAAAGTAACTGTCACTCTGTTTGTAACTAATGCTTTCTGTTCTTTTTTTCTCAAGTTTTCTTGTTGTTTTTGTGGTTGACAAATATGTCTGTCCTCTTTTATTTCTTTCTCTAGATTCTGTTGCTAGTAGAAATTGGGAAGATGAGTTCTCAGGTACCAAGTCACAGTACTGCTACTTGCTTGTTGACCTAGTCCTGAGTTTCAGAGGTCATCAGAAACTGTAACTGTAGCATGCCTGTGTCTGAGTTTTCTTTGACCTCTGAAACTCAGGGTAAATAATCCTGATTGCTAGGGAATATAGAGCATGCTCACATCAGGGGCTTGTTTTCCAAAATGTCAAAACATTTTGGACTGGGGTAGCCGACTCTGTAAAGGCAATTTTGGTCTTCTGGTTTAAGAACTTAATATTCTATAATACCCTCACAATAAATTTTAATAGCTTATTTAGATATAATGTCAGTTGGAATAGCTTGAAATACTGGATCCACTGGTGCTATCTTACTTGCCAAGCTAGAAAACAAACCTGCTGACCAGGCTATAAATGTGGTGCCCTTGGTCATCCAGACATGGGTAGTGTTTTAAGTATTTTTTCTTTTGGCTTTTGAAGTAGTATTATATGTGGGCCTTTAACTGTCTGATACCTGTACAGGAATGTCAAAATAAGAATGATATGATATGCAGCTGTGTGTGTGTGTGTGCCTGTGCGTGTGTATATGTGTGTGTGCGTGCATGTGTGTGAGTGTGTGTGTATACAATAAGGACACAATCAGTGATTGGTGGTCAAATCATTCTTGACTTTTTTATTTGGATACCTATATAGACTAAGGATGATGGGAGCGGGGCATGCGCTAGACTAAAGTATAGGAATGGAATATGATATAAGTAGCTTGCAACTGCCTGAAATAATGATCTAGTGTAATTGACTTCACTGATTACTTAAACCTCTAAAGAGATGGGAGCTTGGATTTTGTGTAAACCCATATAGATGTGAGTGAATTCTTTTCTAGAGATAAAATGATTTTGAGGAATAATTCTATAGGTTCATTGTATACTATTATAATAACTTATTCTTGATTTATTCTTGATTATATAACATCTGTAGGCATTTTGTGAAATCTGAGCTCCTTTCACTTTAAGGGGCACAATAGCCAACAAACTAATTCATTTAGATGGTGCACCTTATTTTGTCAGCTGCAAGTTATCTGGAAGTGGGGATTGTAATACTATTATTGCTAAGAAGTTTGTCATCTAAATTTGTTACAAGATAGATATGCTGGATAAGACGTAACATGTTGATGTAGTAAGGTGATTGAAACAGCTGTCAGTCATTTTGGAATATCTATGAAATTTTATGTCCTTGCACAACAGAGTGATTGTTGCTTTGTAACCCTGCTGCTGATCAAGAAGAGTTGTTTATTCTTTTAGGCATTTAAAATTGTCAACAAAGTGATTTGTCAGACTTCATCTTAATATCAAACTTATGTAAACTTTTGCACACAATTATTTTCAACCACCAAGACTTGCTGCGAACGTGATAAACTTATTCTGTTTGTAGTGAAGTAATTTTCACATTTATAAAAAAAAGTCATTTCTTTTCTATGAGATGATTTTATCTTGAAATGCTGTGTTTTTTGAAGAAGCAAAAGAAAAAAAAGGTTTTCTGATTTGCAGCCACATTTATATTATTCATGCTGAACTACAAACCAGTAAGGAGTTGATATGAATTCCCATGTAATGATTAAAAAAATCTCATGTAAAAGATATTAAGGTGTGTATTTCTTGTTTTTCAGCTGAGATCATTATGTTTGAGGGGCTCACCTGTGTATACAGAAGTAATGTGGATCTCTACTTTTTTGTGGTTGGCAGTTCCATGGAGAATGAGGTAATATGCTACAAGTGTTTGTCAGTCTGAGATACATTGATATAAAACAGTTATAATGAACTTAAGGATACCTTTGTTCATCATGTTTTGAATCTTGAAAGCTTGAATATATATATATATATATATATATATATATATATATATATATATATATATATATATATATATATATATATATATATAATCTTAAAAACATATTGATGGAGTGTAAATAAAGTGAGAACTTAATTGGAAAAATATATGCATTCATGACAAATCTGTTAATTATTACCTCATATAAGTATTTTAAAAGTCTTTCATTACATTTAAGTAAACACATGATTTCTCATGGATCTTTTATACCAATATGATGCAATGTTATGTCTCAGCTGTAAAAATATATTACATGAGATATATAAACACTTGTAGCCTGGGTTAAACAATCAAAAAATTAAATTTTTTATCATTTAAAATGATGCCTTGTGAACCATTATGACAACATCTGTCAACACTTTTCAGCTCATCTTGGCAAGCGTTCTTAACACTTTTTACGAATCTGTGAGTCAGATGCTACGGAAGAATGTAGAAAAGAGGGCACTACTAGACAACCTCGATGGTGCATTCTTGGCGCTGGATGAGATATGTGATGGAGGGTAATAGCATTCTTCTTTGTCTTAAGTTTATTGTCAAATTATATGAGAAACATAGTTACTCCTACAGGATTATCTCAACAACATTTATGGAAGAAAAATGAGCAGAACTCAGATAAAGCTGACAAAATACAACCTCTCAAAATGTATGGCTTTTACCTCTTATGTTAAAAGAACCGATAATTGTATCATGCACGTAACTTGCATATATGTACCTCCTTCAGTTAATGTTTTTCATTGGTAAGAAAATCATGTGGGTTTGTAAAAAAATTTCATCTAGGGGTAGTTCATAAATTCTTTTTGATACACTGCTTTTAATTGATTGTGCCAGTTGAGGTATGAAGAACTGTTTTGGAAGGTTTTGTCTCATACTCATCATACTGGTTCAGGAAAGTGTAAACTTATAGGACTTATTTGTGCATTTTTTTCAGCATTATATTAGAAGCTGATTCTACAGCTGTGTGTCAGAGGGTTGCAATAAAGAATGATGACATTCCACTAGGGGAGCAAACAGTTGCTCAGGTGAGTCATGGCTGCGTGTTACCTGACTGACCATTTTATGTGGTTCAGTGTTGAAGATGTATAGATGCCAGGTGCAGAATTAATTTTCTGAATCATTCTTCAGCAAAGGCATGGAAAGGGAGGTCAGAGTAAAACATGAAAAGAAAAAAAAAACAGATCAAACTTGGGGAAGTGGTGATTATGTGTTCCAGGTGTGTGACTAAAGTGTACATACAAAGTAAACTGCCATGTCCACATCCCTCCTACAATGTTCACATCAGGATAAGCTTAGACTAGAGAAAGACTAATTGACATCACCAGGTGACCAGGTTACATGGGGACTTTCAGCAGGTTTCAAGTTTTTTTTATTTGAGAACAAGATGGTTTGGTGGCATCAGTTAGTCCAGCTCATTTAGTCCATGTTGATCCGGGTGTAAACTGGCCTAATGTAGGTGCAGACCTTAACCTGCTAGTAGTATTATCATGCTGCTAATAGAGAGAGATCAAAAATGTTGCATCACTTAAGTTATTTAAAAGCTTATAAACACTTATTTTGCCCAAACAACACTTCTTTGCAAGTTCTTTTTCAATATTATTACCTTTATTCAGCATCTAGCTGACAAGCTGAAGGTAGGTGGTTTTTGAAGCACTGGACAATGTGGACTTTCTTTTTGTGTATAATTTTGGGGCATTTCTTAAACTTTTAAATGACAATATTTATATCTTGAATTGAGGTTGAAGACACTGATGGGTGTAAAGGGGTTGTTAACTTGCAAATTTTGGTGGATTTTCTCCTTTTGTGTGTGTAACATGAAAAATTTTGAAAGGTCCTATATTTTGAATGAATTATAATAAAATTCAGCAGAGCTTAGGGGTTTTCCTCATTTTAGCATACTCTTTTGCTCCAACTCATATAGCAGCTTGAATTAAGCAGGTCATAATCAACCCCCCTCCCCCCCCCAAAAAAAAAAAAATAAATAAAATAAATAAATAAAAAAAATAAGAAGTGAAGAAAAAGTAAGCAAAATGAAATATTGGTAAGAGTTAGGCAAAGAGCAACCCATGAATTATTTTATTTGTACTCTCACTGCCTTTTTTTACACTTGCTTGAGAGAAAAGGAATTATTTTTGCAAATAGGGTTTGGTTTTATCTGCTTCTCACTGTGCAGGAAAATTAATGTAGTTCTTTGGGATGTGTGATATATTGTAATTTCACCACAAAATCTGTTCTTTGTTTGATGCATCGCACACACTTTATCCCATTCCTCCCACACTGTAGAAAGGTTCTGCATGGGATTGTGGGTTTGTTTTTATACAAAGAGCACCAAAGGTTGTCGGTTTTATAGCTTTTCTCTCTCATAGGGGGTCTTTAGTATATCGGAATCAAAAATGGGATTCTACAGGCCTACCCAACTACCAGACTTGGCACAAAAGGATCCTGAATTAACTGGTATACCGGACCACACTACCCGTTTTCAAGGTGTGTGTCAGATCACATTTCGGAGTATCAGTCAGAACACCGACAGGTGAACCCGTGGTCGTCCTACAAAATTTGTTCTGGGGTATGATACTCCGAAATGCGATCTGACACACACCTTGAAAACGGGTAGTGTGGTCTGAAATACCGGTTAATTCAGGATCCTTATGTGCCGAGTCTGGAAGTTGGGTAGGTCTGTTCTAAGGCCAATTATAGAAGCAAACATTTATATATGTACTCATGTCTTTAGTGAAATTTAAGATTTTTCACCCTTCATTTCTGACCAGTCATTTTAGAAATATTATTCAAATATGAATTTATCATTGACACTTTATAACTTATAGTCCAGGCAGTAAAAAAAAAAAAGAAACAAAAAAAAAAGCTGAAGACTTACAGACTTGCATAAAGTACTCACATGTGAACAAGTTAAATAGAGCTTGTTCCAAAATAACAAGGTGGGTGTGGAAGTATTTAGTATAAATTGCTTTCTTTTATCTTTATTCCGTATAATAGTATTTTTTGAATTAATGTTTCTTCCTTCTTTTTAAACTTCTTTCAGGTGCTGCAATCTGCAAAGGAACAACTAAAGTGGTCTTTACTGAAGTAGCACAAGAGCAGTGGAAAGAAGGAGACTTTGTACATAACGAGGCTGGAAGATAAACTGACAAAATATTGAATAAGAGGCATTTGGGTATAAATGGCAGGAGTTCAGAGAGTGACAATGGACACCACTATCAAACCAAGTGCTTGAAAATTGCAGAAACACATTTATGCCTGTATTTGTCAGTGCACCAGAACATGGGAAGAAGAGTGCAGTCATGTAAAAGTTAAACCTTATTACTGACTTGGACCTTTTTAAAGGTTTACTTTCATATCTGTATCTTTTAAGATACATATTTAAATATATATATTTCATATATATTAATGGCAACATTTCCATAAAGAAATGAATAAATGCATATAAAAAAATGTAGGTATAATAATACTGTTTGATATTGATACCAGGGCCTGTTAAAATTCAGAAACTTTGGACTCAACATTATCAAATAGATTGTGACCAAGAGATGATCAGAATTGCAGTGCTTTATTAAAACCTTTCATTTGTTGTATTACATTTATAATTTTCCCTACATACCTCAAACTTTGACCAAAAAGTATTTTCTTGGTTAACGATTGTGTGTTATACTGTTTGACAACAGGAGTCGCCCTAGAAAACTATTAGATTCTGCTTTGGAGGAAAGACTAGCCTTCACCACTCACATGTTTTGTGCTGTCATCTTTGCAGGGTTTATAAAGGTGGCAGGAATATACAGCCAGTTGTATTTGAAATAAAAAAGTGTCTTGGTTGGAACGTTTAACAAAAATGACACTTTTGCACAGACAACAATTAACCTTCTGTTAAATTGTAAAAATCCATGCTGGTATTTTGGATTTCTTAATTTTATGAAAAGTACTTAATCTTTCCTCTTGATAGAATCAAAGTGATAAGTTGGAAATAGTTTTTAAAAAAGGTCTCACTAGTCATGGTCATTTGGTATTCCATAAAATTAATGTCACTATACAAACACTTTGGTAGAGAGTCAGATCTCTTGTGAGAAAATTTGACAGAGCTGGTTGGGATCATAAAACATTTTCATATAATGTGTATTATTCAAATTGAATAAATTGTATCCTGAAATCCAACATTGACATGGTGCATTTAGAGCAATGTGTTTTGTGTTTTATGTAATGTATTATGTGGGGGTTCCTTACACCAAAAGAAGATCATTGATTGGCTAAATATCACCCTGTAATTTTTGCTTCGTTGTTCTCTTGTAAGACCTTACAAAGATTTATTTAAGTAAAAGTTAAACTGATCAACTGGGAGGATTGGAAAGAAGTCTTTCATAATTCCACTTCACGTTGGGTTTCTCTTGAATGGAACAACGCGCCACCGCCATCTATTGTCAATCAACGCAAAGTTAATGTTTTCAATATGGCTGCACCAACGAAGAGCACGCCGAAAGATGCCCAAGTTATGGCATCGATTCTGAAGGACATGGGTGTCACAGACTACGAACCTCGGGTGATTAATCAAATGTTGGAGTTCACCTATCGTAAGTATTGTGGAAATAAATTTGGCATTGGTTATTTAGGTGTTCAAACCCAGAGGTGCGGGGGGGGGGGCAAATTTCACATAATTCAAATTGGCAAAAAAAAAAAAAGTATTAAAGGCCGTCGAATTGTATGGAAGATACATGTATGTTTAAGCTAGTATTTGCTACATGTTTACTGTACTTACCACATAGTAATACCTTAGGTCAAATTGATTAGGCGCAGTGTCTTATAACAAAGTTTTTGTGATTAATTTTAACTTAATAATTTGTACTGGTAGTGTTCCGCCGTCTTATGCGTGGGTTTTTCTAATGTTTTATGTGCTGATTTTTGTTCAATGCCTCTGCTATTCAAGTAAATTTCTGGTACTTTGGTAATTTACTGATTTTTGAAATTTTCGATGTTCACACCAAAATGACTTGAGTTAATGTTATACTTGAATGGTCTTGAATATCTTTGAAAATATTGCAGTAGTAGTGCATCACTACAGTTTTTTTACCTGCACTGAGTAAACATTGAGTGTGTGGTCTATTTGTTGATGAAGAAAATTACAGCTGTTTTTTTATTGATGCAAGGAAATGGCAATTTTATTATTTTTTTATTTCAATTAAATATTTTTGGTAGTATGATTTAAAGTTTTTAAATACTGGCAACAAACAGCTAATCTTTTTATTTCAGGATATGTGACAGATGTATTAGATGATGCCAAAGTGTATGCCAACCATGCAGGCAAGAAAAATATAGACACAGAAGATGTTAAGCTAGCAATTCAATGTAAGCTGGATCATTCCTACACCACGCCACCACCTAAAGATGTAAGTCAATCTCTCCCTCTCTCTCTCTCTCTCTCACACACACACACCAAGCATTTTATGAACATGGCACTTTGCCTATCTCTTTTTATGTACAGACACAGATGTGTCTGTACATATAGCCATCATCTGCGTCTGTCGTCGCTGTCGTCGCCGTCGCCGTCGCCGTGCACTTTTACCGATAACACGATAAGTGGAAAACCATTTTACCTTTTGACTTGAAACTTGCAGAACTGATGAATATTCATAATACGCAGGTCAAGTTCGAAAATCAGCATGATCGGGTCACTTTTAGGGAATTTATGCTGTTTTTTCACTTTTTTCAGCATATATGCAGCACCGATAACACGATAAGTGGAAAACCATTTTACCTTTTGACTTGAAACTTACAGAACTGATGAATATTCATAATACGCAGGTCAAGTTCGAAAATCAGCATGATCGGGTCACTTTTAGGGAATTTATGCTGTTTTTTCACTTTTTTCAGCATGTATGCAGCACCGATAACACGATAAGTGGAAAACCATTTTACCTTTTGACTTGAAACTTACAGAACTGATGAATATTCATAATACGCAGGTCAAGTTCGAAAATCAGCATGATCGGGTCACTTTTAGGGAATTTATGCTGTTTTTTCACTTTTTTCAGCATGTATGCAGCACCGATAACACGATAAGTGGAAAACCATTTTACCTTTTGACTTGAAACTTACAGAACTGATGAATATTCATAATACGCAGGTCAAGTTCGAAAATCAGCATGATCGGGTCACTTTTAGGGAATTTATGCTGTTTTTTCACTTTTTTCAGCATGTATGCAGCACCGATAACACGATAAGTGGAAAACCATTTTACCTTTTGACTTGAAACTTACAGAACTGATGAATATTCATAATACGCAGGTCAAGTTCGAAAATCAGCATGATCGGGTCACTTTTAGGGAATTTATGCTGTTTTTTCACTTTTTTCAGCATGTATGCAGCACCGATAACACGATAAGTGGAAAACCATTTTACCTTTTGACTTGAAACTTACAGAACTGATGAATATTCATAATACGCAGGTCAAGTTCGAAAATCAGCATGATCGGGTCACTTTTAGG